AAATCAACTCTTGGATTTTTGTGTGTGTGTGTGTGTGTCTGTGTGTGTGTGTGTGTGTGTGTGTGTGTGTGTGTACACACACAAACAAGTCATTTTATTCTGTTTTTAATTTACAATTTACACAGCATCACAATTTATTTGCAGTTGGGATTGTAAATGAAATCAACTCTTGGATTTTTGTGTGTGTGTGTGTTTGTTGGGGACTGTAGGTGGTTGGTGAGGATTGCTCTGTTGTTGCATCATGCCCCTGGCTACTGATCCACTTTATACTGATGTTAGATTTCACATTACCTTTACCCAGGGTTGATGGGGGCATGGTGCTTTGTCTGAAAGTGAACAGACACTTTGTGCCTCCCCTTGTCCAGCATCTGGCAGTTCTGTTCTAATTTAGCTTTGATCTCTCCTTCATTCTTTTCTGTGTTGCCCAGGGAGGATCATGTTGAAGGGAGACAACATTACCTTGCTGCAGAGTGTGTCCAACTAAGGCGAGAATGGAGATATCTACAAACTTCAACTTTTGTAGAAGAAATTGGTTTTTGTTTTTCTTCAGAGATTAAGTGTTTGTGTTTATGACATGAATATTGTAATTGTTTCTTTCTACCACATGGATCTGTTTGGAGAATAAAGGTTTTTTTTTTCTTACACTTCTCTGTTAACTTTTTAGTGTTTCAGACTCTAGATGTGTTTTGGTTTAATGGACTGTGCTGCCGTCTAGTGGCAGACAGAACTATTGCAGTGCACGTATATAGGTCAAATGCACTGCAGCGGCGCAGTTGCATTTAATACGTCTGTCTTGTAAGTGCAGGCGTTATTGTGTGTGAAATACAGAAAATGAACATGTGCTTCCTCGTGTAACTTTTCTATGCTGTACATAGTATGAAAGCAGAACTGCTACAAAGAAAATTAGGGCAGAACTTGGGTGCATGCCCAAATTATGAGTGCAGACTACTTAATGTATATGTACGTTTTGTAAGTAGTGTATAGCTTGTTTATTTTACTAAATGCAGGGAGAATATAAATTGAAACAAATTAGACAATGTACTTTATACAGTAAATGCTGTATCTACTGGTCTGATTAGCAAACGACACAGATGCTGTGAATGTTGATCTTGAATGTTATGTTGAAAAGTTATAAAATCAGGTTATTAATTTACTGGAACCACACACTACTTGGTTTAAACAATAATACCATTTTAGCTTTTGGCCTCAGAAAATGAGCCTTAATGTAGGCAAATTGATTAACGTAATTACGTAGTTAGTCGCTACGCAACTCAACGTGTCCCTGTTCGGCTGACTGGGAAACCCCTAGCGCGGAGCTGCCAACGCCCGGCGTAAAGACACAAATAGAGGATACGGTATGGAAATTTTTTGCTCGTTTCTTATTACTATTTATTCTTTTGGCTAATGTTTAGGTCTAACTCTTGTCACTTTACTGTATAATATGAATTCCTAACACTGATTGTAATCAGCAGTTTATCAGACTCATTCAGCAACAGCATCCGCTAAGCTTAGCACAGCTCGTTAGCTCGCAAGCTAATTGGGGAGGACCGTAGTTAGCTAGCGAAACAGGCAGGGTGTCTATCGTTAGACCGGTGTGTAAATCGAGCTCCTGGAGTTACTCATAAAGAACATGCAAGTTTTTTAATTGGTGGTTCTGATGTTGTAATGATAAAATAAAACACCTCTTTGTTATTAAGATAAGTTGGTGACGAACCTAAGAATTGACTAGTTACGGTACGCGGTAAGTGGGTTAACAGAATAAACGAGCATAACAAGAGTTTGGTTAAGTTGCGATTTTGTAGACAGCATAGTCCCAACGTATAGATGGAAAGCATAATGTCTGGGTACTAAGGAAAAGATTCATAACACTGACCCTGTAAAAATAGGGGATCAGTTGTAAGTTTATCGTTTTAACAGCGGGCAGGAAATTAGGCCAGACTGAGGCCGAGGATGTGGCCGAAATATATGGCTAATGCTACCAAGCTAACAGATCTTTAAGTGGTAGTTATCTCTCAAGTGTGAGGTAAAATGTTCCATAATAGGATATTTACATGCTGATCCTAACAGCTTGGCACACCACTCGCGGCTGCGTAGTTAAACATGTTATAAACTCAACGGAAGACAAAGTCTAGTTTGAGATTTCGGGTCGGTGATGTCAGATCAAAAATACACATGATTGAGGTCTGTTTTTGTCAAGAATCAGAGGGTAACATTCTTTCCCCCCAACGTGCGGAAGTACGTACATGTATCAGTGGAAATTAGAAGGAAGTTATGACCAATCCTTAAGGAAATACCTCCAACGTAACGATCATTACCGGTTTGTGTTTAAATGTACTGATATTTGATCATGTAGATGACATAAGTGTCTGCTTTAAAATAAATCCACACTGCTCAGAGGATTAGCTGACCCGAACATACAAAATCGCAAATTATACAGAGTCCATTTCAGTATGGCAGCTAAATATTTGGAAACTGTTATCAGGCTCAGTTGAGCCGCTTTCGCTATTAGTATTTAAGCAGGGCTGCAGTTAGTGCTGGCTGGCCTACAAACACAAATGTGAGGATTAAGTCTGGCGGCATTAATGCAGCTGCAGTCATCCTTTGGTGCCCATTGCCGTTGGCTTACTACATTGTTACACTTCGATTTATATTTTTTACTTTTACAAGATGAGTTGAGATTTTTATTCAGATTGATGGGACACACAGTAAAATACTTGTGTTCATACACTACTGTGTTTCATGGATGTCACGGTGTTCATTGTACAGTGAAATTGACCATGTATTCACCAACCAAAGAATTGCTGAAGACAGTGGCACTTTCTCTTAGTCAGTAATTAGTTGACTTGGTCCTAAGGCACAGTTCTCCTTGATGATGTGCATTGGAATGTTGTCGATAAGTGTTATGCTTGATTCATCTGCCAACATCTGTAATAACAGTGTTCTTGGTTTTCGGAGACAGAAATCTGTCAGTTTGTTGATAAACCAGTGGTGTGTACTCTAAGTGGACTAGAACATGATCAGATAGCGCCTGTTACTTGTCCATGGTGTCTGCAGCAGTTTGCACGTACATCTACGCAGGAGTGTAATCCCAGCCAAATGGAGTGTCTTCACTTTTAGGATCAAGATGCGGCATAATGCAGTTGCTTTATATATTGATTTTTTGGGATCAACCTTGATAACATATGTACTCTGATTAATCAAGTTTTGCATGTCTGTTTGACCTTACAAGTCTGTGCATTTTCCTGTTATTATTGTAGGGCACCGGTATGTGTTTTTACAAAATGATTTAACTTGAAAAAAATCAAAGCCAACTTAGTCTCTGTTTTTTAGTCTTGTGTCCTGGTGATTTTACTTTGAAAGGCCAGACTCTTTTTGGTGGCACCAAATTTTTGTTTATACTGAGAAAACTGCTGTGTAGCATTGTGACACACATGAAACAGTTATCACAACATTAACAAATTCACATGAACAGACAAGCATTTATAGTTCAGCATTACAATTCAGTATTTTCAGGCAATGTACGTATGGTCAATTTTTTTGTTTTTACATATTATTTTTACATATTATTCACATTATTTTATAAAATCCCTCCTAAAAGAACTGCCCTGTATTGCATCACACCTGGAGAATTTCCAGCCGGAAGCGCCCATTGTTCAGTTTCCGGTAATGCTAGCTGCTCATATGATGCACTTGCGGTAATGGGTAAGCTCCATTAGCACATACAGCTCCATTCAATTAGATATTTAACAGCTGTAATTGTGTTAAACATTGTTGTATTATAACAACATACTGGATAGAAACATGTTGTATTTTGTGATGAGGTTTTTGTTAATAAGGGGAGATTTGACTTGTGCTCAGAAAATGGTACACGTGTGGGGAAATGATTTTTGGTTTAGAAATGTTCATTATTAGAAGTGGACAACTTCATTTGATTGTGCTCTAATTGCTGGAATAAATCATTAAAGACTTACAAGGCATTTTAAACAATGACATATGCATTAGACATATGCAGTGGCATAGTGGTAGAAATCACATAAATCTGTAGCAGGTATTGCACTGATGATGACAGGGATAAAAACTTACAGGTCTAATGTAAAAGCCTTTTTTGAAAAGGAGTGGTATGTTGAAGATATTTGGGTTGTTAGTTGGGCACCTGTTTTAGCAGGTTCTGTTTCTGTGTTAAACACTGTAGCGTTTGGTGCCTGCAGTTTTGTCCCTCATGCTTCTCTCAATGACATCCCCACCCCCACACTGTGCTGCAGAGCTCTGCAGTGGCTTAGCACTGACAGACTGTAACTTACAGAGGAGAAATGGGGGAACAGTGTTGCTTGTGTACTACATACAGTGCGTTGTCTCTAAAATCAGGCACACACTGAACAATGTTGTCAGACCAAGAAAGTACTGCTGTGACGTTATACATTACTTACCAAGAAACATGGAAAGACAGACAGCTTTAGAAATAAAAGCAAAAAAGACGAGCAGATGAAGTCAAGCAAAAGCTGTAGTTAAAGCTATACATAGTCATTTAGAAGTGGTTTGAGATGGATGATGATTGTTGAAGAACCATCAAATGACTGTCAATGAATATTGAATAGTTCTTTTGGTTGAGATTCCCATCTCTACGTAGAACGTGATATTAAATATCTACGATAGCCTAATATATCAGGAGTGCCTCAACCTCCTATATGCCTGTCAGTGACTCAGTTAGCATAACAGCAAAGCATCAGCCCCATCAATTAATTTTCTTTGTTGGCTTAGTCTGGTTCCTTTTCATAAATCACTTGTTGGTAAGTTTTTATTTCACTTAAAGTTACATAACAAATTGTTTCCTAGTCGAGTCTTCCTGTCCTCATTTTTATGCGCCCTGTCTGCTCCACTCTTAGTGTGTTAGTGGGTGCAAACAAAGTGAAACTGAGAGCGGAGGAAAATGCAAATTAGAATGGCCATAATGGCAACAAGTGAAGAATTCACACTAAGCTGGAAGAAAAGTAGTGCAAATACATTAGCTTAATAACATATATATAATGAGCCTGTGTGCATCCTGTAATGTGGACGTTCTGACATGTTAATATGTGTGTTGGTTTCAACAATAAAACACGTCAGTGTAGGTAGAGCCTTGGTGGTGTTCCTACTGGCTCACTATCACAACTGAATAGAACAGATTTGTTGTTTCTTTTATTTGTGCAATTTGAGCTTTTCCTGTGATAACAGTCAGAAAGAACTTTGTAGGTTAGCTTTACTCTTGGAGTTGTGTTCACATCTACACTACATTCATGTTTGATGTTTTAGTTTCTAATTTTGTATAACAAATTAAGACAAATAAAATAAGAGCATGAAGCCACCATTAGTGTTTTTGAGTCTGATCTGTTTCTTGGGCCATATGGGGAAGAGAGACTGCGCCAGCTGATGTTTTCCCTTTTTTCCCAAATTTCCTTTCATGTTTCCTTCCTTCATTTGTGTGAAGCAGGCCTGTGCTGTGTCCAGTTGTTAAGCTGTACTGACCCTCAGTCCATTAACTGTAAAAAGCTCATTGGAGCCTTTCCAGTTTAATTCCCGTAGTTAGTGGAGGTTACTGGTTTTCACTTCACTTCCTGTGGCAAGTAAATCACGATTTGTAGTCAGAGTTTAGGTAAAAAGTTCTTAACCAACATTTTGTTTTTTACAAATAATGAAAAATGCCATCTGGTACTCAGCTTACAAAAAAATGGCTAGTCCTTGGTCCATGCATTTTTCTCCTAATATGAGCTCACCTCAAACAAAATGCTCCTATCAGAAGTCCACATGTATAATGTAGAGTAAAATAATAATGATCAAAGATGATATTTTTAAATTTATCTGTGGTATGTCTGTGAAAGTTGTTCAGCCAAAAAGTAAATTATTAAATGTGCCTCTTTTCTTTTCCAGATCTTGAATGAGTAGCAAAGACTGTAACACACAGCTATGCAGACCATTAAGTGTGTTGTAGTTGGTGATGGTGCTGTGGGTAAAACCTGCCTGCTCATCTCTTACACCACAAACAAGTTTCCCTCTGAATATGTACCTACGGTAAGTGCGTCAATCTCTATATTAGATTTTAAATGTTTTAGTTACCACATGTTTAGCGAACCACACGCACGTGAGTTTATATTTGCTTGTTGCACAATTTACAGAAGATTCAGCTGGAGTTTGGAGTTTGAGTACATACAATGCTGTTTGCATGTTTCCGTTGATCCTGCAGAGGTCTGAACAGGATGTTTGCTATTGTTGACTAATTGGCCTTGACCACTAAGTACGTGATCAAAGTTGTGTTCTGTATGCAGCTTTACAAACACACAATCAGGTCGAAGAACCTGCTGGAATATGGTTTATTTGAAGGATGTTGAATAAGAGTAATAGACGAGCAATTTGAATATATTATTTCTCAGCTCTGTAGTGTAAATAAATGTGTCTATAACTGTATCTTTAGTTCTATTGCGTTATGAGTGGCTGAGCTGATTTTGGTCTGTGTGTTGCAGGTGTTTGATAACTATGCTGTAACTGTAATGATTGGAGGTGAGCCCTACACTCTGGGCTTGTTTGATACAGCAGGTATGTTACATTTCACTTTCTATTATAAAGTAGGAATCATGCTTTCAGAAGCAGCTTGTCTGTCTTCACACTGCAGCCACAGGGGAGCTTTAGTAAATGTAGTTTGTGTGATGTTTTCTTTCAGTCAGAGTTGTGCTTTCTGTTTTTGTTGCTCAGCCTCTGTTGGCTTACGTGCCGACCAAACAATCGAGTTAAATATAATTTTTGTGTGGCTTCTCCAGGTCAGGAAGATTACGACAGGTTACGACCTCTGAGTTATCCCCAGACAGATGTCTTCCTCGTCTGTTTCTCTGTCGTGTCCCCATCCTCCTTTGAAAATGTCAAAGAAAAGGTAAGTGTGACCTGCTCATTTTGATGTTTTTCTGTTAGTGTAAAAATGAACATGTTGTAACAGTTTGTTTCATACTGTGTAATATATACTGAATATTGTTTATTTTGAAAAAATGATGAATTATGGGTTGCTCAAATTTTACTGGCAGGTACAGTACTAATTAGCCGTTTGGTACAAAAAGCCAGAGGGAAGGGAACTTGGTTAAAAATGCAGTGCTTGTCTGAGGATGCAAATGCCTTAAAAAAAGGGTTAAAATAAAGGGCTCTCTTCAAATTTTTAAAATAAAATTAACATTTTCTTAATTTTGTTTAATAAGAAAACCCCCCGGTATTCCGCACATGTGTGGTATTGTGCTGACTCTTGTATTTGTCCATTTAGTGGGTTCCCGAGATCACCCACCACTGTCCAAAGACGCCCTTCCTTCTAGTTGGGACTCAGATCGACTTGCGAGATGATCCCTCCACTATAGAGAAGCTGGCTAAGAACAAGCAAAAGCCCATTACTCCGGAGACAGCCGAGAAGCTGGCAAGAGATCTCAAGGCTGTAAAATATGTGGAGTGCTCAGCCCTCACACAGGTACTGTATATACTTGGATATAAAAGATTTACAGTCACACACACACACTCTCAGAGACGAGTATGATGGATACTTCAGTGGCAAGAACTAAGAAAGTGGAGGAAAGAGGAACATGCCTGTACCCCCACTGTCCTGTGCATGTTTGTTCTGCATGCTGGTTTGATCTTGGTAATTGATGTACCTTGTGGGTTCACTGATGTTGCTAGTTGGAAATGATCCTTGCTACAGTAAGCAGACCTTCATTTAGGTAAACTGTTACTTATTCAGCTGCACTGGTCTTGAGCATAGTCACATGGTAGATTAGCCAACTTTTCTTAACAGTGGGGTGGATTTTAAGCAAATGCACTAAATGTTAGAGTTTAGGATTCTGGGTGAGCAGACCTAAAGCGATTAAAGCGTAGGAAGGAGAGAGTTCATGTTTTGCAAACCTCTCCAGTATATGTGCTTGTTAAAGCCTGTGGGCTTTACACCACATCATGGACCAGCAATCGCTCCTGGGATCAGCTGATGGTGTTTGCAGTAATAGAACAGGCACAAACACATTATTGTGTCAGCATTTTGACTAAATGGCAAAGTAAAATGTTTCTAGTTTATGAAGGCAAACCTGCTGCTAGTTAGTTGTTTGTTTGTTTTTTTGCACTGTTTCTAAAGAGGACCAAAGGTAGACAGTGGGCTTCGTGTCAAATTTAGGAGCGTTTGACTTCTCTGTGGTAGATTTAATGTTGTATTATTGAGTGCTTGTGTTGACTAAATCAGTCAGTGCCTTTAAAGGCTTTACCTGCTCAGTTATGTCCCGAGTTTGTTTGTGTTGGCGTTGATGCATAACTGTTAGAAACTGAAGCACAGTAAGCATGACTCGGAGGAGAGCAGGTGACTTGGATCTCTGATTCTGAACAATAGTGTTGATAAAGCTGGGGTGCCCCCACCTCCCTGCTCTGCTCCTTCCTTCCTGTACTCCCCCCTATCTCACTGGCACAAAAGTTGCATAGCTGCTGATGTCATTTCCTGTTTCCTGTTGGGGATCTCAACACCCAGGTCCCCAGCTCACTTTCAGCCCCCTGTTAAACAACTTCCTTGTCTTCATTCAGTGTTGACACGGCTGCACGGCACTCCTGGTCTTTATGCTATGAAACCTTCCTCCTCACTCTGCCATGTTCCTCTTCTTCTCCTCCTCTTCTTTGGTCTCTCTCTCTGTGTTTGCTCTGCTAATTGCACTCTTGTTCTCTTCCCTCTCTTCCTGTCGTCATAGCGAGGGCTGAAGAATGTTTTTGACGAAGCTATCCTAGCTGCCCTAGAGCCGCCTGAGACGCAAAGAAAGAGGAAATGTTGTTTATTTTAAACTTTCTGTGCCACATCACTCATGTCTTCTTCCTGTCATTGCTGTTTATCCGTTTTTCGTTCCCTTACTCCACTTCTCTCCTCCTTCCCATTTTCTCTCTCTCTCTCTCTCTCTCTCTTTCTCTCTCTCTTTCTCTCTCTCTCTCTCTCTCTCGCTCTCTCTCTCGCTCTCTGCATTTGCTGCTTAAAACTCTCATCTGTCTCAATCTCAGCCATCTATTAACAGATCACACTGCTGCTCTACTCTGCATCAAGATTGCGTTTCTCATCTTTGTTCTGTGGCTTGTTAAACTAACCAGAGGCCTTTCTGCACTTAAAAATACTTGTTGCCTTTTCTAATTTGGTTTACTCGGCATCATATCTTCATATTTTTCTTCTGGATTAGTGTGACCACCTGCATCATTTCACATCCTAATTCTTGGACCACTCTGTGTCTTAAACTGTTTTCACACATGAACTCTGGACAGTCAAACACAGTTGTCCTTTCTGGAAGGATAAATTCTGCACACAGATACCTCCTTCATTCTAACATGGACTTAAACGCCACCACGCCTCTGAATTGAACTCATTCTAAAAGATGAGATTAAACATTATTGTGTGTGTGTATTTAAGAGCCACTGAAAATTGATCGCAGTCAGTGACCACATTTTTTTTTAAACGTGTCACTTTCTGTAGTTTATAGTGCTCCAGACACATAATGTTAGGGTGCTGAATGTAGTAGCACCAGCAGTCTTCTTTCCTTTTTAAAATACAAATGGAAAAAGAATAGAGCAAAACTAGCTAGAACATACAAACTGTAAGAACTCACACATCTGTGCAGTGCTGTTTACTCACTGCTGTCTGTAAGCTGTTGACACAGTCTGCAGACAACTTTCCACTCTCTATGTCAGAGTGCTACAGGTCATCTGTTTTACTTTCCACATTGTTTGTTTGTAATTTCAAATTAAAGAGAAAGCAGAAATAAGCCTAACACCAATATTAAAATCATACAATAATAAAATGTGAATAAATAGCACAGCAAGAGCAGCAGCTGTGTACATTGACAGTCATTCACACACTGTGTTGAAACAGCCGGGTCGGTAAAGCTGGTTCATTGTGACACCGTCTGAAAGGTTTGTGTGTGAAAACGTCTTGAGTTTAGCTTATTAACAAGACCTGTGTCTAACAATAGGTGGCTAGTGTCTAGAAGGATACATCCTTTGTTTGGGATGGTCCTCGACTCTTCTCTCTGCTCTGTGCGAGTAGTAGTCGTGTGAAGGTGGTGGCTTTACAGGCTGAGATTGAGCTTACACTTAACAGAGCTTCCATTTCTAATGCTAAAGTATTTTTTATACTTCTACAGTTATGTTTAATTTATCAGAATCTGAAGGGTGACTGTGGTTTCTCACGCAGGGCTTTTAACTGCTCAAGTCACCTATGGGAGTGTCTGACCTCAGCAGACATTGCTATGTGCTGGTGTCATGGTACTCATTGATCTATTTTATAGCTAAGCCACACTTGATGATACTTGCAAGCCGTGTGTAGTGACTTATTTCGCTTTCTCTACATATAACATCAGTGTGCCATTACCTGTGGTACAGATTGTGTTGTATTAGAAGTCTATATAATAATAAAAGCTATAATTGTGTGAAATGACTTGTGAACTGAATTACCGTAATAAAGGACAACTTAACTTGCGCTCATCTGGCTTCCGTCTTTTTTCAGTGCCGTGTCAGAAGAATTTAGTAGTTTGGTCAGCTGAGATAGGCAACGCAGTGCAGCTCTGGTTACCTCACATGACTGAGCTCATGACGTAAGCAGTTCTGCTCGGGTTAATACAAAGGTTCCCCTCTTGCGCTCGGCAAGTGCTTGATTGTGGTCATGTGTTTGGAATATGAACCAGTGAAGTCAAGAAAAAGTTCTTGTTTGCCGTTGTAATGTCAAGGGTTATGTCCTGTTTTTCCTCCACTTGCTTGTTTGACTTGCCTTTGATTTCGGCTGTCTCAGGTCAGCTGCACTTTTCAGACATGCATGTGATTTGTGTTGTTGACACTTAATCCCTGATCTGGCTTACACCACTGAAAACACCACAAGACATCGTTTCCCACACACAGACTTTACTTGGGAGGGTACTCCAGGGATGCTGATGGCTAACTAAGTATAGTGTGTAACTTATTTTTTATTTACAGTGTGATCGATTTAGTCACTGCTAAGCATGTAGACTAATAATATAAATTCTGTAATGCAATTGTTTGGTTCCGCAGTCAGATAAACTCCAACTAAACTATGCTGGACTGCAGCTGGTCAAAGTAGACTTTATTCTACTTAAAAGATGTGCTTTAAGGAGTTTAATGTAGAGGCAGCAATATTTGCGTATTATTGTCACAGAGAATGTGTGCTATTATTTTAAAAAGCACGGGTGCACCTCCTGTGTCATTTGTCTGATTCTGTGGGAAACACTACATGACAGTCTCCTGACTTGTTCATTGCAGATCCTACCTGGAAATTTTATGTTGTTGTTTTATCTTTTTCTTTGCATTCCCACCAGCTTCCCCTCTTTCTTATGAAACCCCTCTGAATTACCTTCAGTGTGTTTTGCTTTTTCACTGTCCCCCCCCAGTTGAAGCCATTTCTGCCTTTTGTTGCAAGATCTTTTTTTTGTTCCTTTTAAATCTGTGTGTGTGTGTGTGTGTGTTTGCGCTGCTCCCTCATTCTGTTTGTATGTTTTTGTTCACAGAAAGGACTAAAGAATGTGTTTGATGAGGCGATATTGGCTGCATTGGAGCCCCCAGAGCCCAAGAAGAAACGCAAATGTGTGCTGCTATGAGAGGCTCCTACCTTTCCAAAGCACACACCCCCTTCACTCACGCATACACACACACACACACAGAAATACACACGTCTTTAAATACATACATCCCTGCCTCTCCCAATCCCCCCTCCCTTGCTCTGCTAAGGCTGCTTGACAGCATTGTTTTCCTTGTGGAAGACTAGGAAGAAAACAGCCTACCAAGTTTCAGATAATTCTCTGCAATAATAACAACCAAGCTTCACCCCTGCGTCTGAGTTCGGGATAAAACATGAATGTTACATGGCCAAGAACCCAGTGAGGGCTCAGACAGGGATCCAGATACCAAGCATACTCACAAGTAGAAATCCCTCTGTCGAGCTTTGGATAGCTGATTTCATTAGTTCAGTCAGTGTTGTGGCCTAATCGAGTTCTAGCTGTCCAGCCGTGTAGTCGTCTTCAGCCAATGTAAAGGTTTCGTGGACATAAGCCCAGCCCCAGCCCCTCCCAGCTGCTTAATTAGCAGCTGCTCATGCTGCTGTTCCCGTCGCCTCAGTTGACGAGCACGCTCATTGCTCAGCCCCCCTCTATGTTCTCACTCAGCACTACCACAAGAGATGCTAACAGAGTAGTGTTGTTGATTTTGTTTGCCAACACCTCCTTTATCCCTCAAACAGTCTGAGATATTTACTCGATGTTCCAAGTAGACGCGCTCTTAACCACTAGGACACCGTGGGGGTTTGACACAGCTCGGTAATTCAGTCAAGGCTCCATCAAGCCTTACCTCCACAGTACAGAGTAGCAGTCTTTTTAAGAGTGTGGAAATCACTTGAAAAGCTAAAGGCATTCATTAGTAATGGGTCTCATAGTCGACCACAGGAATTGGCCTTTTAGATGGAGGGAACTTAAACAGTATTAGCAGAACAAGCGGTTGTTCTTCATGCGTTGCCAGGGACCAAGTAGAATACTGTTTTCACATTGTCATCACCGTACACTGAGAACGGGCATAGCAGAGACAACTGTGTTAAATGACGAATGCTTATTGGCCAGACAACAGATGAGCAAATGTGAATTTTCACCAGATTTCTGTGCCAGGTCAGAATTTGGTGCCTTCCTGTAGTGCGTCATATCCAGGCAGAGGTGTGAGGCCTGTTGTACCTGTTCACACTGTACGGCGCTGCATGTAGCTCGGCCTTGGTCTCTGTTCTAAATGATAGGTTTAACAGATGTAATTATAATGTAAGCTGGCACACAATGTTCATGTAGGCTCCAGGTGTTTTTACCAAAATCTGTTTTTCTTTATCATTTCTGTTTGTGTGTTGTTGTTTTTTTTTTTT